GGATAGCACTAAATGCTTATGGACTGATTTACCAGGTCAAAGTATGAGCAACACAGTTTGCGCATTAAAAAATATATAGGGGAGGCCAAACATTAGTGACAATGCTTACAAGTTTATATAAGTTGACCATTTATGTTTTGACATCCAAGGTCTTCCTGATTAATAATCTGACACAGTAGACTGTTATTGACACTGTTCATAGAGATTGTTCTGAATCTTCTAATGGCCAATTGCTTGAGAGGAAATTCCTATAAGAAAGAAACTCTGAGAATGAGAAAATATCTTGTTCAAAATGGTTGCTTTTAAATCATCTTCCAAAATATGTGAAATAAATTCTGGTCACCCGGTGTGTCACATAATTGTTTTGGGAGCATCTGATTATCCCCAGACCAGAGAATCCTATCTTTTCTTCCCCACTGGACCTCCCAGAGTCATGAGCAGCCTGACAGCACTTCATTAGGGAATACCTTGAGATTAGGAGACGTGCACACAATAGTGATTTACACATTGATAGATATATTACATGAAAAACTCTGGGAGACAAATTTTATTTTATTTCTGTTGGTTACTAATGTTGATACCTTGAAAAAATAGCATTATTAAAGAATTCTAGTTTTCTCTACACCTAGTAAGAATCATATCTCTTGTGACTTTTGTTGAGAAAATTAAAATGAAATTTTGCTATAATGACCAAAACATAACTCTGTGTCTGATCACTTCTACTCTATAATGTTTCAATTTCTATGCCAACAAATAAATAATTGGTAAATCACATTAATGACATGAATTTGAAAAAAAGAAAAAGTGTGGATAATCTCACAGAATAGATTTTTGTTTTCAGTTTTCTATGCAATGTCTTCATATTTCTAGTGTTTCATTGGGAAGATGTTGGGGTTTCCAAACCAATACCTTTTTTTTTTTTCAATTCTCTTGTGATAGTTTCTGTCTTTGAGATCTTCAGCTCCTGTGTCTTTCCAGAAGTCACTACCCTACCTCTCTTTCTTTATAGGTTTTTGCACCACTCCATGGAGGTGGATTTCTGGGACCTTAGGAGTAATGTGCCTTTTGTTGATGGCTATTTTTGGAATTGTGTTGAAACACTGTAAGTTTTTCAGGGCAATTTACATAAAGTTCAGAGCATTGATGAAATCATTTAATAAAGCTTTCATTTACTAAACATGGAATATATATTTGTTTCACAAACTTGTATCTAATCATTATTTTTTTACCATTTCTGATAACATTTCATAAACCAGATATTGAGCGAACATTCTCTCAAGGAGCCACCCTCAAATCCCAGAAAGGTAGGTTCCATACTTTAGTAGAGGATGAAATATGCAGTTCCTGTTTTTCTCATACAGAATTATGATGGAACCATTGTGATCTAGCTATGCAAGTAATATACTAATTGCAGGATAGTCTCATTTCATTGTCTTCCATTGTAAGAATAATTAAATTACTTTGAATATGCATCACTTGTATATTTAAATAAGGAGAATATTAGCCTGAAATAACCTAGTTTTTCCTACATGAGCAATCATATTTAAGTAATAAAAAAAAATAAGTTCTATTATATATCCCAGCTAATGCTAATTATCTAACTGTTTGCTCACAACCCATGAATTTATATCTTTACCTTTGCTTCTGCATCTCTCATGACTAGAACATAGTACACAGATTTCAGCAGTTAAAGTACAATTTTTTAATGTACTTTGTCTAGTGTGCTTTATAACTTGTCTCAATATCTTCTGTGATTACTTCTCACTTTATTTTATTCTTTTTTCCTTCAATTTGTTTCTGGCTTTGGAATATAATTGACACGGGACATTGTGTACATTTAAGACTCAACATAAAAAACTTTTTAACTGCCTCTTGACCATCCAAGTTTATGTTCAGATAGATGTTCAGAGAATTCATTTTTTTAGCAACAATTTATTTAGGTATTCTTGGGCCACAAGTGAGCAATAAAGATCCTCCATAAGGATGGTATTGCAATTATGAACTTCTAGAATCTGTAAAATGTTTCTAATTGTGACAGATCATATGATTTTCACATATTTGAAATGTCTAAAATTGATGAATTTGTGCACCTGCACTTAACATTATAAGGTGTCAAGATAAATATGATAATGGATGTTGAACATTGAATTTAGTTTTTTTAGAAAATTTTAGGAAAAAACAATAATTTTTATAGGAGTAAAGAGTATTTAAAAATCAGAATCTCCAATATCAAGAGTCAAGCTTTATTTTTTTTTTTCTTAGACTCTGACTGCTGTTCTTGCCAGGAGAGGTGGATTGGGTACAGCTGTAACTGTTACTTCATTTCCAATGAATCCAAAACGTGGAATGAAAGTAGTGATTTCTGTGCTTCTCATAATTCCACCCTTCTTCAGATGAACAATAGAAATGAATTGGCATGTATTTAATCCTGGTTTCCTATGTATTTTTTGACCTAGAGATATGTACTATTTAAGTAAGCTGAATTAGATTCAGGTCTATATCAGATAATGAAGAGTATTTTTTGAACTAATGACTTACTAATAGCTTTTTAACTTAACCATTATAAAACCTATAAAATTTTATTAAGGAATTTGATAAATTCAGAATTTTATTGGAAAAAAGCTCAAGAGAAATGTCAGATAAAGTATAATGGACATTTTAAGAGAATTCAAAGAGGATCTATTATGAGTATTATTCTAAAAAATAAATAACTGAATCTTAATGCTTTCATTAATTTTATAATTTATTTTGTAATTCTGTATATTTTGTCATCATTATGGGATATGCAATGAAAATGAAATGTATGATCATAAAAATTACCCAGTTCTTAAGAAAAAATGAAATATTTCTCTAGCTGTATGCAGAATCTATACTGACTATAGGTTGAGAAGATTTCACCCACAAAATTTATTCCCTAAGACTCTGATGTAGAATCAAATTCGGATGTCACACTCCTGTGAAGTAAAATTCTAACTCCCTTTATAACATAATATGTATGATAAAGTCTTCATTCTGTGAAATCTGAGATTTTTCATGTTATTTTCCCCAATAAGTAGATAGGCTTGATATTTGAGTAAAAAATACACTTGTGACTACCTTTTTAAGCAAGCATTAAAAATGCTTTTTTTAAAAGATTTGTTTATTTATGTACACAAGAGCTGGGGTATGGGCCAGAGGTGTGTGTGTGGGGGGGGGGGGGTTGAAAGGATTCCCCAGAGACAGAGTGGGGAACAGAACAGGCAGATTGACTGAAATACACTGCTGAAGAGAGCAGAGGGTGAAACAGGAGAGGTCTGCTGCGCCCTGTGGGTAGCTCCTTGCCAGAAACCGTCCTCGCGCTGCAGTGGCTGCCAAGAGCTTCATAGGTTGCATCTTAACCTCTTGCACCATCAAGGAAGCCCTAAAAATGCTTTTAAGTGTGTATGATCGAAAGGCTGACTCTTATGTTGGACACTAACTTTTTAAAATAGTATTATTCCAGAGTAGATTTAAATTATGTTAATTGTTTGTTTCTGTCTCTAAGCAGCACTTTATGAAATTCAGTAAAAAATATTACTGGGTTGGAGCCATCTACAGTGAAAAACAACAAGCCTGGGCGTGGCTGAATGGCTCTGCTCTCTCTCAAGATCTGTACGTTTCTACTAGTCCAGATTTTTTTTGTTCTTTATGAACTTATTCCTCTCTCTCTCCACAGATTGCAGCTAAAATAGTTTTCCTAAAGTATAAAGATACAGAAAAAAATGGATTCAACAGAATAATAATTTTGGTGCATCTGGAAAACCCAAGTCAATTAACATGAAATTTGTGTACTTGTGACCATGAAAGAACATCTGAGATAAGTGAGATAGGCTTTTTCACCCTGATGGGTGTGGGTGGATGCATAGATGTTATATTCACAGGAACTATCCAGAGAAAACAGTGTCCATGATAGTTTTATTTTGCTGGAGGCCAATAGCCTCAGCTTACACCCCCTTCTTTTCACATTTTTTAGGTTAATTTTCTGTTTGTAGCTTTTGAGTTTCATTTTCATCAATAAACAGGATTTTTCAGTATCATACAAATTGTATCACCTACCTTGTTTACTTAGGCTAGTTTAGTCAATACATATTTAAGCAAAATTGAAACAGTATATCATATATCAAATCCATTAAAACAAATGCAAAAAAAAAGTGACTGAACTCTGTGCAGTTGTTTACTGAGGCAATAGTCTAATTTTGTGATATTGTTCTTTTAAATGTCAAAACTGTGCCTATCATAAAAACATACTGGCTCAATATGAGTCAGTAATGAGTCAATCAAATGCTTTGAAAAGTTCTATTATTTGATAAACACCCACCAATGAATATTCTCATTTCCTTTTCTCATATGTTAATATTTTATTTTTAATTACAGATTCTCCTCCTATCAAACTGCAAATTCAAAGAACTGCATAGTATACAACCCACACCTTGGTTTTAAGGATCAACCTTGCATGTGGAAAAACTTATATATCTGTAAGCAAGAACTTATGTAGGTGTTTCTTGGGGTAGAAGTGGACAATATAGTCCCATCTTAAGAAAGGTATTCCAATTATGTATTTCTAGAATCTATAAAATGTTTCTAATTGTGTGTGTGAGTGTATGTATGATTTTGACATATTTAAAAAGTTTTAAAATTGATAAATTTGTGCTCCTATACTTAAAATTATAACGCATCAAAATAATTATTGTAATGGATATTTCAATAAATGCATGTTCAACATTGAATTGCATATGTTTTATGCACATAATTGTATACAATCTCTCTGTAGAAATTTAAATAAAACAATGATTCACATCAAATGATATATATCGACATCACTTCAGTCTTTTGTATAGCATACTAAATTTGGAAGAGACACTTGTTCCTGTTTCTTGAAATTAGTTCTTTCTGGATATCAGTATATTTATGTTTGATAATTGACAATTTTCTATTATGTGTCTTGGTGTATAACTTCCTGCATTTAGATTGCTAGGTATTCTATTGTTTTCATGAAATTTTGTAGTTAGTTCTTTCTTAGTTGTTATGGGAATGGTAGGAGTAAACTGAGCCCGTGATTACAATGTTAAATGAACTTCACCTCTTGACATCTTTACAGACTACACACCCATCTCCAAGCCACTGAGATCACAGACACTTAGATTACAACTCCCAGCATTCCATGAATCTGTCTTCCTGAACAGGGTCACTAGGAACTATGGGGAGAGTTAAGCAGCCATATTTGCCTTAAAACCTAAACAAATGCATGCTGTCACTCTTTTGCTTTTCCAGGTTTCACTTGCACCCTAGTGTCTCACCTCAGTTGCTGTTGTTGGTAGGAAATATCATCCAATTGTTATCTCTCTCTTTCTCTCTTTTTCCACTCCCCTTGTAAATAAAACATTTTAAATGTTTTCTGTGGTTTCTGCTTTTCAGTCTTGTCCCATGTCCTAAAGCATAAGGGTGAGGACACACACAGGTCACCGATATCCCTTGCTGTTGTCCTCCTCTCACAACTTGGTGCCCAATAACAGGGACATCATAGATCACACAGTAGGGCAAGTTCATTAGGATTGTGTGACTTGAAGTTGAATTTTTCTGTCTCCAATTTGAAGAACTTTATTTTCCTTCTGTAAATTTCTCTCTGTGTTGATCTACATATAGGCTCAATCATTAGTTTAAGCAATTCTTCATACTTTTCTTTAAATATCAATGTACATAATCTTGTAAGGTCTGGTACATGGAAGAATATTTTAGTTTTGTGGAAAGTCCTATGGGCATATTTTGGGACTCAGTTTCAACCTTCTGTTAGGATTGAATACTTCACATAGAACTGAAGGTGAGAGGATTCACCAGAGACAGAGAGGGGAGCAGAACAGTCAAATCTACTGAAATACACTGCTGAGGGGAGCAGCGGACAAGGCAGGAGAGGTCTGCTGTGCCATATGTGGGTTGCTACTTGGTCAGGCATGGAACTCAGGCCATTGTGGTGAGCCTTTGTGGTGGTAGAGCTGAGAATTAACCCTCAGGCCACCAGTAAGGCCCTAGGTCCTAATTTTAGGTTCTCGACTTACAGAGTCTAGTTTTAGTGAGAATCCTTCTGGATCACTGGATCAGAGCGCAAATAGCCCCACTCTTGCTAGGAGTATATATACAAATTAAGAAAAGAGAAAAGAATATTCAAATTAAATGAGGATTTCTTTCATATGTATATTCAAATAAGGAAAAGTTATAGGCCTTTATTAAAAATAATAACGATGTTGAAAATTTAAGCATAATTCTGTACTTGTTTAAGCTTAGCTAGCTTAAATTAAGCTAGCTTAAATTTTTATTCACTTTACCCTCTCCTTTAACATTTTCAAAGATTTTTAACTAATTAATATGGGTCATTTCTTCATCACTTGTAGGAAAATATATACATTTCCAGCTACTAACTAACTAGAAAATATATTCACAAAATAAACAATGTATGTAAATGTCAACCCTTATAAAATTGCATAATAAAGTTAGAAAAATACTAAGGAAGTGAGAAAACTTTATAAATAAATGTGATAAGATAAATTTCAAGGAAGAAATTTTCACCTGAAATATTTACCTTCCATTCAATTTTTAAATTAATTATTGAAAATGTACTGGTAGGGGGCTCCTTGGTGGATCAGAGGTTAAGTCCCAGTCCTATGAAGCTATAAACAGCCACTGAGGCATGAGTTCGATCCCTGGCCAGGGAGCTAACAGACATGGCACAGCAGACCTCTCCTGTCTCACCCACTGCTCCCCTCAGCAGTATATTTCAGTAGATCAACCTGTTCTGTTCCCTTCTCTGTATCTGGTGAATCCTTTCAACCCTCCCGCACCTCTGGCCTACACACCAGTCCTTGTATGCATAAATAAATAAATCTTTAAAAAAAAAAGTAGTTTTAAGTGCTTAAACTAAGTGGAGCAAGCAGACACATGAATTTATCAACAACAATATACTTTATATAAAGTTAACATAATATTTATTACAATGGGATAAAAAATACACATTGATACAATTCACTGTCTGGTAGAAGTAGAGAAATAAGCATGAGTAGTTAAAATGTAAGAGGTCATGTGTCAGAATAAACTTGAATTTTTCCAAGTTAAACAATTGAGTTAGATATTTCTTACAAATATAATGACTTTGATTTATAACTTTCCTCCTTCCCTACACTGTACAGACTGATAATAATAATGTGAGAAAGAAAAAATGGGTGTGGGTGGGTGGGTGTGTATGTGTGCACACATACTGCCATACAAATGCATGCAAGACTGAAATCTGTATAGACACAAAAAAACTTTCATCCCTTGACCCAACTGATAAATTATTGCTGTTGTTTTATTTCTCTTCCTTTCTCACATTTCACATCCCTAGCTTGACCTTCAGTGCAGGTTTATGAAAAGTGAACAGCTGATGTCATATCTAAGTGTCAGCTCAAAGAAAAACAAAAAGGAAATATACCCACAAAACTCTCAAGACACTTAATAAATTATAGAAATAAACAAATTAGCTCCACAAGTTTGTGCTGAGTGAGTCTGAACCACTCAAGATAAATCCTAAGATTTATCTTTCCAGTTTATTTCTTAAATTTTTTGGGGGGAAGGGGGGAGGATTCGCTTATGGAGTGTAAACACCTAAGGAAATTTCAGAGCAGAAATGTGATGCACAGTGTTTCCTTCCCAAGTTAGTAGAGCTCCCATCTCCTGACACCAGAAAACAATGGAACTTTATGGGAAAGTTCTGGCTTGTCCTGTAGCTGGGAGAGTCAGGGAAGCATGAATGACTACAGTGGAATCTTCTTTCCTAAAAGGACTGGATGAATTTTTATAGTCTCATCTCTAAGATACGTCTACTTGATATTTCAGAGGTGTGAAAAAAGAACTGCATCATTTTAAATCAAGTGATAGAAGTCACTTAAAATTATCAGATTCAAGTAGTTCCAAGTAGTTGTTAAATAAAGCAATGAATAAAATGACATTTTACTACATATTAAAATCAAATGTTAGAACTATGATGCTTGTGTTTATCTCTAGTTACCTAAGGCATAAAATATGAACCTATTAAGTAATTTTAATGATATATCACATGGTAAGAACCGAGAATATGCATTTTAATCATATATGCAGAAACATGTTTATTCTTTGTAGAAATAGACATCTGTATTTATCTTCATTAATGATCTATTTTTATTATAAATGTCCCTAAATGCTTTGTATACTATCTAAAAACTTGAACATTAAAAATTATACAATCTTATACGGTGCATTGTGTTACAGATTTAAAGCACTACACTGTTGTCTTAACAAATAGCTATCATCTACAGTGGCAATTTTAACCAACAGTTACAAGTAGAATCAGGGATAATAACTATAGACATGACACAGTATAGTTTCCTTTTACATGGTGTTAAATGCAACAAGACAACTGTTTTCCATTAACAGAAATAAAGAGATAAATATTACAATCAAAGTGACAATCCATTCTGCTTCTTATTCCACAATAGCTTATATAAACTTCAATGAAAAATATAAAACAATGTGAAAATTTTGATATGTTTAGATCTTTCTTAGCCCTTGACAGACCCTTATGTCTATTTTTATAAAGTGATATATCTGCATGGACAAAGAAGCAGCCAAACATTAGTGACCTTATTAGTAATATATATTTTGGATAAATTGACATTCTCTAATTGAGTGCAGTAGGGCAAGATTAATAAAATCAACAAGAAAACATATAACTTGTTTCAAAATTTCATATCAGCCCTAATATACAACTTTTCTCACTAATCGTCCATCACATGGACTGAAGCAAGAACCTCATGTAGGAGGTGAAAGGAACTTGTTTGCAATGTGGCTTGTCCACCTCTCGTAGCTAGAAACAATCTCTCTGTGGTGAGCTGTTTGGTGGATCTGGGTTCTCACTTTCATCGAACACACGAAAGGTGACAAACTGGTCACTTCTTGACATGTAAAGTTCAGGTTTACTAAGTATCACTGAAATGGCCCTGAGCCTCTTTCTTGACCTTAGGCAAAAACAATATAAAGCTCTATGGTCAGTAGCTGTTCATAAAATTGAGGTCTAAAGACAAGACCGAGGAGTAAAAGATCTCTAGAATTGTAAGATACATTGGTTCCCAACAGGACAGTATTCAGATCAGTAAAAAAATCTGTGGTCTAGAGAGCTCACCTAACTCTTGTATTAGATTTTCATTCAATGAGGATTGAGCAAATTTATGTTTTGTCAACTATCAAAAGATAGGTAGATGATAGATAGATAGATAGATAGATAGATAGATAGATAGATAGATAGATGATAGAGAGAAAAAATATGATAATATTTTAACAATTTTGCATTGAGTAATCTGGGTAAAGGGTATATATCAATCTGTTATGCTACTTTTTCAGGCATGTTTAAATCTGAAATTATGTCAAAAACTAAAGTCACACATGAAAGCTTTTCCCCTTGCATACTGCATTTAATATAGCATTAAACCTGAT